CACACACACACACACACACACACACACACACACACACACACACACACACACACACACAAGCTGTTTCCTCTGCAGAGGCTGTGATGGACAGTGAGGGCAGAAGTGAAGCAGCCTCCACCCTCCATATTTCCGTGGAAACAGCAGACGGCAGGTATGCATCCTGTTTCTATCTGACCTGGTAGCTGCCTGACGCGCGACCTCTCTGCGTACAGATGAAACACAAACATTTACCGCCGAGCCTGGTGTGTTTACCTGTGTGAGGAGCTGATCCTGAGTCAGTGAGTTAATCCAGCGGGTATAACGCTCTGTGGATCCCTCTGGCAGCCGCTGCACTCTACAGCCAATCAGCTATCAGGAAAACACACACACGCACGTGTTTACTTTTAACTGCCAGGAAAAACAACTTTGATCATAAAGACATTCCCCACAGAGTAACACACATCTTGGACAAATGCCAAACACAGCATGACATTTTTAAATGGTAAGTACTGAACTGCCAGAGGTTTAAAAAACGTTACCCAAAACTGAAAGTTAAGGTGTGTTTCCATTGACCGTGAAAATGCGCAAATTAGAATTTCGAAAATAAATTTGATCAATGGAAGCATGTCAATTTCGAAAAAACTTCCTTTTTTTGACAAAATGTTTTTGCAATAGGATGAGATGGTTTTTCGGCCGTATCGAAATAGGTGTTTTTCGCAAAACTGCACTGTAAACACTTTTTTCGCATCAAGGGAGTGAAGTGATCAAGAACCGGCTGTTTCTACTGGCGAAAAGAGGACAACAAAGAAGACAACTGGAAGTAGAAGTAGTGAAATCAACTAAGTTGTAAAAGAAAGTAGTAAACTCAGTGACTATAATTTCCCAAAAACACAGCATACGTAGCCGCTCCCAAGTATAATGGGCTTGTCACTGGAAAGCCTCAATAAAAGACACCGACGTCTCCTCTGATGATAAGTGCTAGTGTCGTGGTAGCAACATGCTATGTTTACATCCATTGCCGCCTTGTTTGTAATGACTAACCATGAGAACAAACGTATTCACACGTGACTTTAATAGCATACTTTATGGAAACACTGCAACTGCAAAACTGTGTTTTTTCTACATTAACAGAATATGGACAAACTTTTGTGCACATTTGCAGTGGAAACGCAGACGACTTTCAGCTTTGGGTAACTTTAGGCATTTGCAAGCCTCTAACAGTTCAGCACTTCCATTTGTACCTTTCCAAGCTGTTCATTGGAATTGAGCTGCATGAATAAAAAAGGGAAAAATTAGGGTGTTCTAAAACTTTTGACCAGTATTGTACATAAATTAATATTTCATTCCAAACCAGGWAATCTATGTGAAAAAACAGTAAAGGGGACAATCAGTCTCTATGGCTCTGGGTCAGACTCTGGCTCCAACAAAATGGACAAGTCTTCCTTTGTTGACAACTTTTAATTATTTTGTAAATAAAACATAAACCCCTCTATCAAGGTACAATGKACCGCTCTGGAAGCTGGAGGGGGGCGGGGTGTAAAGCATCTCGCTTAGATTTAAAGAGACAGCCTCAAAACAACTTGGATCTCAAACCCACCTCAGCAAAGGGGTGAAAGAGCGGCTTGTGGAGTTACAATAAGGAGGAACTCATATCAAAGCATACATAAAATCACGATGATGTACTTCCAGTTAGCAAACGCCATTTTTTGTGTGGCAAAAGAATTCGCCGATAACAATATTACTATTCCTCCTATTACTAGTACTATGTTGTGTAGTAATCAGAATTGTATAAAACAGCAGAATGCCCATCATTTGTTGTGTGAACAGGAAGTCCCCTTGAAGCAAATTAAGTTGTATAGTATTCCAGAGTGCATAAGCATGTGGCTCTGTCAACGATAACAATGAACTTCTGCATTGCAGTTCCACTTTAGATAGACCTCAACTRGATGATTTAAATGTGAAAAAGATGGATTTAAAAGCATGATATATCTCCTTTAAGAACCAAAAACCTAGTATTGATTGAAAGAACGCATACCACCCGCCTCCAGAGATTTGGATCATCTTGTTTAGAAATGACATATTATAGCTATTTTATTTATACCTGAAAATTACCATCATGAGAAACCTTGTGATACTTTGTGTAAATGTTCATGATCTGCTTGTGCTTAGAGTATGTCTTGTGAATGACTACCAGCTATCACCACACTGTGTTTTAGCTCAGTGTCTAAGTTTCCCTGAGTTTTTACCATTTCCGTTTAGTAAAAGTTTGATAAACTGAGAAGCAACTTAAACTCTAAAAGTTAATTAGTTGTAGATGTTTATGCAAAAAAAAATACTTTCAGGGAATTTAATTAAAATTCATAAAGTGATTCATGAGTTATTTTGCTAACAGACAAACAGGGTTGACTGTTAATGCCAAGGGTTTGTGCAACGTGTTCATTTTCACATTGTGTTGCATTCAAAGTGTACGTTGGAGAAAACGCTGAGATACTACCACCTCTAACTTTAGCTCAATATCTGTCAAAGTGACTGAGTTTTGTTATTCTTGTGTTTAATAAGAGTGTTTTGCTGTGGGGGCCATCTTGAACTGGTTGGTCCTAAAAGTTAATATCTGCTCAGTGGTTCGTGAGATATTTTGCTAACAGTGCAAACAAACAAACACACCACATGGATCTTTGCTGTTTAGGTGGGTGTTGAAGAGTCTTATCACACACACACAAAAAAGAAGCAACACAGAATAAATACATTGCCAAGCCAATAAAAAAGTCTCCACCAGGATGTAACTAAAGGTTTATGATGTGGGGTTGTAGTTGGTCAGGTCTAGGTTCAGCAACAGTCTGTGCTCAAAGAATGAGGTCAGCTGACCTGAATATACTGAATGACCAGATTATTACATCAATGGATTGTTTCTTCCCAATACCAGGATTCATCAGGCTGGAGTTGTGAAAGAGTGGTTCAGGGAGGATGAGACATCATTTTTACACATGGATTGACTCCACAGAGACCAATGAGAATCTTTGGGATGAGCTGGAGAAGGTCTGACTCTACCATCATCAATGTAAGGTGTTGGTGAAAAATAATGCAACACTGGATGGAAATAAATCGTGACACTGCAGAAGCTTATCAACACAAAGCCACAGCGAATGACTGCAGTAATCATAACTGACATTACGAAAAAGTTCAACCGAATACTAGAGTGTGTGACCGTTTTTTTTTTTTTTTGTTGTTTTTTGGTGGCGACTTTTTTTTAGCCAGGCAGTTAATCTTCTTTCCAGAGCTGTGAAAAAAGAAAGTTGTAGCAGAAAAGGGCAGCAAGCCCGCTGTCTCCCTATGGTCTTACTCATTTCCCTCCTCACACATGCAACCTTTGACCTTTGGCCTGGCACACCGAGGCGACACCGGATACTCTCACTGTTCTGTGTGCCGGCTGCAGGAACCCTTACACAGACAGCATGAATATCATCACAACAGGCTGAGAGAAGGGGAACAAGAGGAGGAGAAGTGAGGAGAAAAGAAAGGAAGCAGGGGGGTGACGATAGTCAACAAAAAGAGACGGAAGGAAGTGAAGAAGCAACGGGTTCAGCAGAAACTTACCGAGTTTGGATGGAGGAGCGATGCCTCGTACTGCAGGCGAACTCTCTGTGGCAACATGATGTCGTCCTACGGTTACAGGAAYATCCACGTTTCAACTCAACGAACCAAAGTAGTTCTTCAAAAACATTGATAACAGTTTAAGCACACACAAATATAACCTTTTACGAAACGGTTTCGATTAAAGCTTGAAAAGCACATCWAGAAAAGAGGAAGGTATATATAATCTGTTCCCACACACACGCCAGATTATTGGCACTGATGCACTGCGCCATCATCACAAACACTTTCAAAACTCCTCCTAACAACAACCAGATTGGTTTGTGTCATGGAAGCCGACATCTGTTTTTCCACAAAGAAACTGAAACCCAGAACGTGTCCAGTTCTTCTGTTCACCTGAGATGAGCWCCTGCCAACAGAACTGGGTGTTTCTGTGCAGCCGTAATATACACCAGTATTTCCCAAAGTTGGGGTCGGGACCCAAAGTGGGGTCCCAAAATATCGAGGTGGGGTCCTGAAAAGATTTTCTGAATTAATTACATTTTTGCCTTAGTTGTTACTACTTAGTTGTTAAATGAGTGAGGTTAGTATATTTAAAATGGATAAATGTAGTACAAAAATATTGTTACTATGCCCATGTTTAGTTGGCCTAATGCTAATGTTTAACATCCAAAAACATTTGGGGGCACAGGTCTCTGCTACTGTTATTTTGTGGGTAAAAAGCTGAAAAGTTTGGGAACCATTGCACTTTGGTTCCCAAAGTTGGGCTTGGGACCCAATTATGGGTCATGAAGCACCTTGGATAATCTCCAGAAATCAATTTAAAGGGTAATAAAATATTACCCTTTAAATTGAT